GTATGTGTCTGGTGCTTTTCAAGCTGCTGCCTCTGAACTGAAGCTTAAAATGAGTGACTTTGTGAGTGAGAGGCCATTTGTGGGCCCCCAAAAGAATCAACTTGGTCTCTAGCAACCCTCAAACTTACTCAGATGCTATCCCTGCTGGTTTTCAGTTAGACGATAATGAAGATTCCTCTTCCCAACACTGCTTGTCTGGTTGAAGAGCTACATTTGGGGCTGGGACCACTCATTTCTCAGGTGAAAACAATGCAGCCAATATACCTCTTCTGATTCTTACTCACCACACTGTGGGTGTGTGACCTCTCTGTTCTATGTCTCCATCTCTCCTACCAGTCTCCAAAGCGGCTTCTTTGTCTCCTTATAGAAATTTATTTCAGTTAGTCCTCAGGTGGTTTCAGTAATGGCTGTTCTATAATACAGTTGTGATTTTGATACAGTTGTGGGAGGTGGAGGGCACAGAGATCACCTACTCTGTCATCTTGACCCTGTAGCTTTAGAATTTGGACATTTTGAACATGTATTTGAGCCATTTCTTAGAATTCTGTTTTGAGGATAACCATAATCAGGTCATCTCCCTGAAGCAACATTTAATTTTAATAGTTAAGCATATATCCAAGTTAGGGTTCTAAATTTTACATACATGTATTTTGTTTTGGAAACTTTTACATTTTATAGAAAAGTTAAACAGCAGTACAGAGTGTTCCTACCTAGTAGTCACCCAACTTCTTCATAACATAGTACACGTGTGAAAACTAAGAAATCAACAGAAGTATAATATTATCAACTAATCTACATATTTTATTCATATTTCAACAGTTTTCCTTCTTGTGCTTTTTCTATTCAGGATCCAAGACATGATAGCAGCTTTCACTTAATCATCATATATCCTTACTAACTAGTATACTCCTTTGATCTGTGGGAGTTTCCCATTATTTGTTTGCCATGCCCTTCAACAGTTTTGAGGAGGACTGGTCAAATGTTTTATAGAATGTATCTCAAAATTTGGGGTTGTATGAGGCTATCTCTGGATTATATTAGGGTTATTTATTTTTTAGAACAGCGGTTCTCAACCTGTGGGTCGCGACCCCTTTGGGGGTCAATCAACTCACAGGGGTCGCCTAAATACATCCTGAATATCAGATATTTACATTACAATTCATAACAGTAGCAAAATTACAGTTATGAAGTAGCAACGAAAATAATTTTATGGTTGGGGGTCACCACAACATGAGGAACTGTATTAAAGGGTCATGGCATCAGGAATATTGAGAACCACTGTTTTAGAAGAATAATACAAAGGCGAAGTATATGACTGTTGATATTACCCTATCAATAGTGAAAATCACTGCCAGGTTTTATTATTCTTTGAAAGAAAGCAGTAAATTTATCCAATACTCATGAAGAGAAGACTTAAGTTCCATCTCCAGGTGGGAGAATTTGTAGCATATATTATTTGGAACAAACTTCTTAATTGTAATGATAGATGCCAAAACTATTTCTAGTTCAGTTAACAATTACAGTATATGATTATCTCACAACCTGTATTCCAGGCACTTGACATAAATTATATACTATCTATTACAAAGGACCAACCCACACAGACATCAGTTTAGCTTCATTTCTGAACCCCAGTCAGATTCTCTGTTAGATAATCAATTCCTCAATATACAACTAAGATGCTGAGCTTAGGTAATATCTCATTTTTTAGCAGTTTTAAAGGTTATTCTTTTTAGATTTTTAGGTATGTAATAAAACCACCTATAAATAATGATACCTATTTTCTCCTCCCTAATAATTGAGTGTTGTATTTGTTTCAAATCTTGAACAATGATTAGATTATTGTATGAATGCTGCCAATATTTCATATTTATTTGATAACAACTATTTAAGATCAATATTTTATCATACATAAGAAATGTTCTGATTTTATCAGAATTATATGTTAAATTGTACCTATTACTTTTTTGCTAACTATTCAAATTATCACATGGCAGTATACTATAATTAACCACTTTATATCTGCTCTCACTTTGTCTAAAACCAAATGAGGAAGCAGAGTGGTTTTATTCATTTATAGAACCAAAAATGAGCTTCAAGGATGTTTTCAAGACCACTAAAAAGATATATAGCTAGGTCTATATATATAGATATGTAGATATATAGATATATTATAATGTTTTAAACTTATTTTCTAAAACTTCTGTAATTTCAGTGTGTATTTTCTCTTTGACACAAATATTGTTTAATAAATTTTAAATTTCTAAGTAGATTTTTTTGTTCCAGACTTTGTTACTATTTTCTAATGTTATTGCATATTAATAAGATAATCTTTCCTGTTTTGTTTCTGTCTTGAAAATTTTCTCTAATGTCTACTACATCACTTCAAATTTTTATATATGCTCCTTGGACACTTAAAGTCATATTCTTCACTAACAAGATACAGAGTTCAAATTATATATCTCTCTACACTTGTTTTGAACCAAGATCAATAAATTAAAGTTTGTTTTAATGTTCAAACTTAGTATTTGTCTACTTCCCCTTTCATTTCTGTTTCAAGAAGGTTTCACCCTTTGATAATTTAAAGTATCCCTCTTTATATTGTTTGTTGCTTTTTGTTTTTTAGAATTTTTCCACTATTAAGTCATGATTACTTCTTTTTATCATTTGTATTTATGTGGTATACCTTTACTCATCCTTTTATTTTCAGCATTTCTCTAATTCACTTTGATTTTAGGATGTTTCTTGAATATAGAACTGTAATTTTTCTCTTTAATATTTTGAAAGCTTCATAGTTTTATTGAACTGCTTATCTTTGTAACTATAAAGGAATCAGAGGTCCTCTATATGTTTACAAAGTGTATTTTCCTAATATAAGCAATGATAATCGTATTTACTCTTAATTTTTCCTCTCTTCTTTCACCAAATTTAGTCAATAGTCCTATATTTCTACTATTTCATTTGTCAGCTTACATGGGTATCATTTGACTCTTTGGATCTACTTCGCTTTCTATATTTCCTCAGTCTTTTCCCAATTTATTATAATTGTACCATTTCTAAATTATTACATGATATAAAAAGTAAATTCTGGTCTGCAACTCTAATTCGAACATTTGTTTTAATCTTGGTTTTACTGTTAAATTAATGCATTGCTCTCCAATAGTCCTTAGCTGTAGTCTGCCTAACTGGCTGGACTTCATTTCCTGCCCCCAAAATTTCCTAAAGTATTATTCAGAAATACACAATTACTTGTAGTTAAAAATTGTTTGTAAGCACCCTTTTTACTTCAAGTATCCTTTGTCTCACATTTTCTTCATTTCAATACCTTATGGTTGGTGCTTTACGTTACCTATATTGAAGGTTGTTGTAGAAAAGTTAAGGCAAGACTCAAAATATTTTTTTCTCCTTATTTGCATACTGCAAAGTATTCTTTACTTACATTTAAATCCAATAGTATACTTTTGTGCCGATCATTCAAGAAATTTTCCCTGATAAACAGTATGACCTTTGGTACAGATGGCAAAATCTTGTATTAGGATTTCACTAAATTACAGCTGTATATTTTTGTTTAGTCCAGTGTCCAATTTTCTTACTTGAAAACACCATTTATGCTATTGTTGGAACTTCTGCGCTTTCTACGTCTATAATTTTCTCTGTAATCCTTGATATAATCTTATTAATACATATTATTTGCTCTGTTTCCAATTTTATCTTCCCTGTATCTTAGAATGCTATCCACACAATTAATTTTCCTTGAGCTTCTTCTGATTTCATTTTTATTTGTGTGAAAGTTTTTTTCCTTTAATTTTTCCCCAAAGTTATGTAAGCTCGTGGTTCAATACTTCCATGTTATCCTACCATTTCTTTCAACTTCTTGAAAAGTTTAGTAGTTGTCCTTCCTCAGAAGCAAATCATTTATTTCTTATTTTTTTAACTTATGGTAAAATTTCTAATCACAATTATGTACTCAATAGCAATTTTTTCACATTTCTATATTTTTAAATGTGCTTTCTTTACAAGTTTTAAGAGGTGCATCTTGGTTAGAATCTTTTATTACTATCTCCTAATCAATTTCTTTAAGTAAGCAACCCTTTTCTTTTAATATTAAAGTACGTATGTTTCTCACTTTCATTAATCTATATACTGTTCCCTCATAAATGGGTAACTCTTTCCTACTATCTGGTTACACTGAATCAGTCTTCATATCATTGCTATCTTTATTCTCCCATACTTAACTATTGTTTTGATACCAAAACAAAAATAATATCTTTTACCTGGATTTTGTGCAGTTTTCATCAGTGTTATCAGTAAACTCTTGGTAAATTTAAACACTAAAAAGAACTGCCAACAGTAAGGTTCTAAGAGGAATCCTACGTAGCAATATTTCAATAAAAGCACAAATTTTGGGTGGCTCATTTGCATAGAAAATGGATTTTAAAAAAGAGTAATCATGCAGTGGTCAAAACAGTATAAAAAAACTTATACCAGCAGGTGACTTTTAAAGTAGCTGACTTCTGGACTTTGGGGAAAAAAGATATTTTAGGAGTTTTAAATCACAAAACTGATCAATAAGCCCAATGCCAGTAAAGCCCAATGTAACAAATAATAAAATACTGATGTAGCATGTAAGCAAAGAAATAGCTCTAAGGAAATTTTAATATACATGATATTCCCTGTGTCAAGTAAATTTTCATTGAAATCATATCCATATGTACTTTACTTTATTTGATGAAATATTTTATTATTATCCTTAAAATGAACAATATTTTTCAACAAGCATATAAGAGTACACTATGCTACTGAAATTGTGATCTTTGTTCTATAATCTACTATTAATAAATATTGTTTTATAAAACATTTTTGCAACTTTTGCCATAAGAAGCTATTTTCCATTGTAAGATTATTCCAGTCAGAATACATGTAAAATTAGATATAAAAGGAGTAAAAATACAATTTCAGTAGACATTTCTATTAATTCATTATAAAAAACTTCTACTTACTTGTGACCTAAATGCTTCAGAAAGTATCCCAAAACCTTCAGAGCTTGAACCCAAATACTTTCACTTTTTGAAGCCAATAATTTGTAGATTACCCTAAAAATATAAAAACCAATGATCTTTTAAACTTCTACAAATATTGAAAATATAAGTACTGTATCATTTACAATTAAATGACACATACATAAAATATAAAATTCCACTCAGGATTTCAAGTTCTTGGAAAAAAGAAAAAATTAGCACATTTTATTAATTTTTATTTAAACTTGACCTTCAAAAATATATTAACAAAAAACTATGTCTCACTTGTTTACATAATTACTTTACAATCTTCATAAATAAAGTTAATCTTCAAAGTCCTTTATTTTGTCCTCTTGCTCTAAAACATTTTTCATCTATATTATTGCCATTGCCCTAACTCATCATCCCTAACACTGATGAATAAAATAATTGCTCTAATGATCTCACTACAATTTTGTCCCTCTCCAACTCTTTTCCACACAGTTGACTATATTTTACAAAATGGAAATCTGAGCAAATAAGTTCCCCATTAAAAATTCATTAATTTTCATCAACAACAGAACAAAATCTAAATTTAGCATTCTATGGACCTTCCAATCCTGGCCATTATTCTAGCTCTTGATCCTAAACTCATTAATTTTCTTGTGCTCTCTTTGGCTGAATTATACCATACTCTCATTTTCCTGCAAAAAAACGAGTTGCTCTTCCCACTTCTTGAAATATCTTTATATTTTTAAATTTATCTTTATTGTTGTATTACAGATGTCGCCTTAATTCCATCCATTGAACCCCTCACCCACTCCCAGGCCTTCACTGCACTATGGTCTGTGTCCATGGGTTATGCATATATGCATACTAGTGGCCCTGTGCATCCTTGCACCGGTGGGGTCCCTCAACCTGGCCTGCGGACATCCCCTGAGGGGTCACAGCTTGTAAGAGGGCACAGGCCAGGCTGAGGGACTCCACCGGTGCACGATTGGGGCCAGGGAGGGACCAGGGTGTGTCTGGCCCATGTCACCCAGTCCTCATTGGGGCCGATCAGGGCCAGCTAACTGGGGAGGTACCACAGTAGGTTGGCCGGGTGGGGAGGGACTGAGAGAGGGCTCCAGGGTGTGCCCGGCCCATCTTGCCCAGTCCCTATTGGCCAGACCCCAGCAGCAAGCTAACCTATCGGTCGGAGCACATGCCCCCTGGTGGTCAGTGCACATCATAGCTACCGGTTGAACAGTTGAATGGTCACTTAGGCTTTTATATATATAGATAGTCCTTTAGTTAATCTCTTTCTGTCCCTCCACCCCCTTCCATCTGAGATTCCACAGTCTGTTTCGTGGTTCTATGTCTCTGGATCTATTTTGTTCAACAGTTTATTTTTGTTCATTAGATTCTACATATAAGTGACATCATGTGATACTTGTCTTTCTCTGACTGGCTTATTTCTTAGAATAATACTCTCCAGTATAGTAATGATTTAATTACTCTTCTTGAGACCTGAGATCCATTTTCTATACACCTCATCAGGTAAGTTTTGGAGGTTATATAGCAGCTTCCTCCATTTATTTCCCTTTAATGAGTAAGACTGCTATATTTATTCAAAAGTTCATAGAATAGGGTCCATTCTATAAAGCACAACTGTACGCAATTAAAGTCTATTAAAATACTAATATTATACTCATACCTTATTCCATTTCTTTGATCAAATGCTGGTATCATTGAGGCTGGATGTTCTGACATTAAAGCCACTAGTAACTGTAATACATCATGAATATTTTCATCCTGCATAAGAATAACAAAAATTTATTTAGTTAAAACTTTATGCTATGCTTTGAATAAAATAATTAAAATAGAAGACCCAGACCATGTCCTACCTCATGCATTGTAAGTAGGTAATTTAATATACTCTGAAGTTCATCTTCTTTGACCCCTCGATCCTAATGTTTAAAAACAGTATTAAGTTAAATCTAAAATTAAAACTTTAATTAAAGGCATCAAAATGAGCATTTTTAAAGAAATTTTTAAAAACTTAAAAGAAGTAATGTTTTAGTTAAAATATCTAGACACTTCATAATCAAGAGACTATATTACTTCAGTTTAAATAAATAAATATTTAGAAATTTATATCTATTCTCTAAAGTTGTTACTATTTGATTGACATTCCCTACAAAGAGTTAGTATATTTTGATCATGTTATTGTATCAATAATCACTATTTTTTAACATATACTCTTTTCTTAAAATAATGCAAATTACTGCCCCTGCCAAGGGGCTCAGTGGTTGACTATCGACCGATAAACCAGGAGGTCAAGTTCCATTCCTAGTCAGGGCACATACCTGGGGGGGCATGCAGGAGGCAGCCAATCAATGATTCTCTCTCATCATTGATGTTTCTCTCTCTCCCTCTCCCTTCCATTATTAAATCACTAAAAATTAAATAAAATTATAAAATAATGCAAATTACTATAAAACTTCACAATACTGAGAATTTTATCTTTATTTTCCATTTTAAAAATATTATTCTTTTAAAAATCCTACTTTGATAAAATACATTAATCTAAGCCTTATTAAAAGAGGATACACAATTTTCTGGAATAAAATCTTTATTCTTGTTTCATATTCACATGTTCCTTGCCTTTGTGCTATAACGCTTAATACAGAGGATCTCAAAAAGTAGTTAACAAAAAGTAAAATTCAACAAAAGTTAATACTAAGATTTATAAAATTTTGAAAGCAATCCATGAATTTTTTGTGCTAATTTTATGATGATTTTAAACTATACCAAAAATTCCTTTTCACCTAATATATTGTAATTCTGAATTACATAAAATTATTTTACCTTTAGTATTAGCTGTTTCAGAAAAAGTAGCATAAATGCCCGTAGTGATATAATTTCTTTTTGTGATGGCCGCGGACCATCTGAAATAAGACAAAAAGGAAAAAAAAAGAAAAACAGGAAAAAATGTCATGATATTAAATAAGCTCAATGCAATAATGTTAGGATAGTATGGAATTCTTTAATAGTTATATTTGTTATAATATTCATTACTACTAATGCCGCATAATTTCAATTATATCAGAGAATCTAAACATTAATTTTTCAGAGTTTTAGCAATTTCAAATTACTTACTAAATGTCAGATTTGAGGGAAAGAATTACTTTTAAAAAATTACATTACTATACATTGATAAATGAATAATCATCAAGTAGTTACACAGATATTTTTTCCCACTTCTATTAACTTAAGAGGTTGGTTCCCTTTTCCCCTTCAAATCCAAGGTTTCCCAATACTTCTTCCATCCTAAAACTGGTCTTCATTTAAAAAACAAAACATAGAAAAAGCGATACTCTATCGTAATTATTGGTTTGCAGGTCTTTTCTTCTGTCACCTGTATATACCAAATACATATTATAGTGGACTCTCAATAAATGCTTGTGAGTCAATAAATGAAAATGATACATATATATTAATTACATCATAATATCTAAATTTCAAATTAATTAACTACAAATATTTTATTACCAAAAAATAAGAATATACAATAAGCACATGTAATATATATAATATACAAAAATTAAATTATATCTTTAAGGTAGGTAGCTAGAACCATGATAGTCCTTAAACATCAAACTTTCCTTAATGTAACCAGGATTTATATAGCCCTTCTGTAAGTTTTAAAACAACAGTCCCTTTATGTGTCATTTCTAACATCTCTTATTTATTCAGCAAAAATTAACATGTAGATTATTATATCTGAAAGCAAATTAACATTCAAATAATCCACTCTTTTTATTCTTGAGAAAGAAATATCTTCCCCATTTTCCAAGACTGCCTTCTACATCTTTGCCCCACTTTGTCAATAGTACAAAGTACCCTATCCTCCCTATCAACACTTGGTATTACGTATTCTTAAAAAATATTTTTCACTGTGAAAAAATAGCACTTATACAGAAGATATAAATGTACAATTTAATGAATTATTATAAAATGAACACCTATTGTGAAGAAACTGAACATTGAGAGCAGCTTTTTAGGTGAAGAAACTGAACACTGAGAGCAGACTGGCAGGGAAACCCATTAACCAGTTGAGTGCAGGGAAAGAACTGTACAAAGTGGAGAGTGAGGTCCTGATTTAGGTCATTTGCAGATTTCTATTTCTGTTATATAAATATTCCCAACATGATTGATTTCAAGTTCAAGGCAGCAATGGTTAAGTACCAGTTTATAAAATCCCTGAATATTTAAACATTGGCTGTGGCACCAGAACAACAGAATCCTCGCCCTATCTCTGATCACATCTCCCATCCAATCCCAGTATCTTAGTAAAATTATCTTAGTTTTATTTATAAATTTGCCACTATTTAATGAAATTGGACAAGTTTTATATTACCTTAATACATGAATATTTTTATTAAGTTGAGGGTAATAATAGTGCTTATGTCATAGGATATTTTATGAGAATTAAATAGATCAACATATGTAAAGACATTAGAATAGTGCCTGGTCCATTTTAATTGTAAGTACTCAGTAAATGTTATATGTAATTATTTACTACTGTTATATATTACACAATGTAAAGAGCAGGTTGCATAGAAATATATAGGTATGTATAAATTTTATGTATGTGAATAATATGAACTAATTTTACAAAATAAAATACAAATAAATTTGTCTTACAAATATAAAACTGAATGACAAAACAAATGATAATACTATTCATGTAAAACACAGAAGCTAAGCAATACTTTAGGAATACAGACATAAATAGCAAAGGAGTCAAGCATAGTAAAAAATAAAAAGTACTCAAGTAAAGTAAAAGCACAATGAACATAAAATTAAAGATGGGGTAATCTCTGGGCTGGAAAGGGGAGAAAGGTGTGTGCACCTTCAGACAGGCTTAGGATAATGTTCTATTTCTTAAGCTTAGTGTTACTTATATATTTACACATATAATACCACTTTGTGTTTATAATATATTAAAAACACCTATAACTTGAAACACCTATGTATATACATGAGCAGGAAAAAATATGGCATGTTTTAGTTAAAATATCTAGACACTTCATAATCAAGAGACTATATTACTTCAGTTTAAATAAATAAATATTTAGAAATTTATATCTATTCTCTAAAGTTGTTACTATTTGATTGACATTCCCTACAAAGAGTTAGTATATTTTGATCATGTTATTGTATCAATAATCACTATTTTTTGATCATGTTATTGTATCAATAACATAAGACAGCATATGTAAGGTTGATAATCTTGGCTCCTTGGGAGAATATTATTTTTTATTTATAAAATTTTCTATTATTCCCTTTGCTACCAAGTTCATGTATTTCTATGATATTTATAATATAAATGTTTTTACAGTGAACCATATAAAATAACAATTTAAGAAACAAAAGTGCTAATCAGAATCAAAGCAAAAAAGATTATACTTCACGAAAAGTTCAATAAAAAAGCTAATGAAGGACAAAGTATATTTAATGTGTCCTTAAAGCATTTTAGTTTAAAAGAGTATTGATAAAATAAAACTACAAGTTTCAAGTCAGAATTTCACATAACACTAAGTAACAAAATTTCAGATGGATTAGAAAAGATGTTCATTTTATATTTACACATATAATACCAGCATGGCTCATTGGTTAGAATATTGGCTTGTGCACCTGAGGGTCATGGGTCTGATTCCCAGTCAAGGACACATACCTGGGTTGCAGGTTCTATCCATGGTCCCAGTCGGGGTGGTTCAGGAAGCAACCAATTGATGTGTCTCTCTCAAATTGAGGTTTCTCTCTCCCTCTCTCCCACTCACTTCCCTTCCACTCTCTCTAAAAATTAGTGGAACAAATATCTTCAGGTGAGGATTAACAGCAACAATTGTTTAAAACAACTAATTAACAAAACTACAGTTTGAAAAAATAAATCAAAGCATAAAGAAAAAGACATGTTCACCCTGACTTATGTGGCTCAGTTGGTTGAGCGTCATCACACGCACCAAAAGGTTGCTGGCTCGATTCCTAGTCAGGGCATATGTCCAGGTTGCAGGAGGCAGCCGTAATGTTTTTCCCCTCACATCCATGTTTCTCCCTCTCTCTCCCTTCCTCTCTCTCTAAAAATCAATAAAAATATATTTTTTAAACAAAAAAATGGGGGGGGGGATGGCAATGATGGGATAAGGACACATATGTAATACCTTAATCAATAAAGAAAAAAAAGGAAAAAAAAGAAAAAAAATATCTTCCCAAAAGGAGGACCTATGTAATACTTTCAACAATAAAGAATGCACACACACACACACACACACACACACTAGAGGCCCGGTACACGAATTCGTGCACGGGTGGGGTCCCTCGGGGTGGCCTGTGGAGATCGGGCCCCAGCTCATGCCTCCAGCCTCACAGCCCCAGCTTGCGCACCCCAGACTTGCAGCTCCGCCTGGCATCCCGCCTTGGCCTGGTGCCGCCCCCTCACCTGCTCCACCATCCCACCTGCAGGGCAATCTATCAGGCTGGGGCGCCACCAGGCTCCCTCAGTGCCTGGGAGCCGGGTGGCAACCCCATCCCCCACCACCGCTGCTAGTTGCTGTCTGCAGAGCGATCAGTGGGGCAACTGGGACCCCGCTTGCACCGGCCTTTGCCTGGTGCCACCCACTCACCTTGTCCACCATTCCGCCAAGGTTCCACTCTCATTGGGGCCCATTAGGGCCGGCAGCACCTCCACTGCCACCTGCTGCCAGTGCCATGCTGCCCCCTAGCGAGCAGTCGAACTCCAGGTCTCCCAATTGAACAACCGCCCAAGGGGACAATTTGCATATTAGGCTTTTATTATATAGGATATATGTATATGTATACGTATAGGTATATGTATATGTATATATGTATATGTATATGTATGTATATGTATATATATATTTGGTTTCTCTTTTCTGTGGCCAGTGACAGCAGGGCCTAAGAGTTCAGAAGGTAGCAGAGGCCAAGGAAACACAAGAGGCTGACATGGACCAGGAGGCAACAACCATCAGGGCAAGGCAGGAAACAATAGAGGTCAGTGGTATGCAGTGGCAAAGAAACAATGGAAGTCAAGGAGGCAATAAGGATCATCCAGAGTTAAAGTTGTGGAAGGAGTGTCAGAGCCAAGTGGCATGTCATTGCTAAGAAGGTGATGGTGTAGGTGCCAGAACACTGGTTTTATAATGTAGAATATGCAAATATCCTACATAATAAACCTATATAATAAAAGGGTAATATACAAACTGACCCAAACAGTGGAACGACTGGGAACGACCAGTTGCTATAACGCACACTGACCACCAAGGGGCAGACGCTCAACACAGGAGCTACCCCCTGGTGGTCAGTGCGCTCCCACAGGGGGAGCTCCGCTCAGCCACAAGCTGGGATGATGGCTTCGAGCGCAGCAGTGGTGGCAGGAGCCTCTCCCACCTCCGTGGCAGTGCTAGGGATGTCCAACTGTGGCTTAAGCCCACTCCCCCCTGCCAGAGGGATGTCTAACTGCCAGCTTAGGCCCCATCCTCCAGGGAGTGGGCCTAAACTGGCAGGTGGACATCCCCCAAGGGCTCCCAGGCTACCAGAGGGATGCCTGACTGCCAGTTTAGGCCCGATCCCCCATGGAGGGGGCCTAAGCTGGCAGGTGGACATCCCCTGAGGGTTCCTGGACTACAAGAGAGCACAGACTGGGCTGAGGGACATCGCCCCCCCCTTCCCCCGCCAACTGCACAAATTATTTTCATGCATCAGGCCTCTAATACAAATATATTAAAGATACTGGGAGTAAGATTTCTCACTATTAAAGGAAGAAAGCTAAAATATAATACATTTGAGGTTATATTGAACCACATAATTTTGGGCTAGAATTGAAGGTATGAACTCACAGTTTTTAATATAGTTAGATCAGTTTGGATGAATGCATGTATTTATATTTCTGCATCCTTTTCACTAAAAATGCCCAGAAGCCAATGACACCAAAGAAGAATAAATACAACAAGCACATTTAACACTGAAATTCTGGTTTCTAAAAACTATATTTACCAAAACAATCCAGGGCTCCTTGAAGAAATGGGTGAATCCAGGACTGGGATGAGAAAAGTATAAGATGAACAAAGGTCATCTTATACCGGAAGGCAAGGAAGTACCAAAACAAAATATGGACATCAGTCATAAAAACCCAAGAACTCAAGTGAAGGGTCTCCTAGTGGCAAAATCTGAGACAACTTGAAAATAAAAATAAATGATCATACAACTGAGGGGATAGGATAGTCTTTGGGTTACATCAAGGCAGATTTTTTAAAGTTTCATGAACCACCCCATACTCATTCATATACATACTATAGTGTTTTGGATTTGGGTTTTTTTTTTGGGGGGGGCGGCTGTTTTGCAAAACAGTAGCAAACTAAACTATCAGCAATAGAAATATTAAGGTTCCCTAAACCTAAAATAATTACTGTCTGGCCCTTCCCTGAGAAAGCCTACCAACTATTGATACAACATACTAAATAAAATAGGAAACCTTGAAAAATGTATACTAATATTAAAAATGAGCAAATCAATAAATGGAGTAGAAAAATGAGTTATTTCTACAGTAGAATTCAAAGAAATAAATGCTAAAAAATATTGCTACTTGGCAGCATTCATAGTAAAAATCCATTCTGACAAGAGTTATAGATGAATCAGTGAGTTTGTTTCGAAAGCAGGATATTTACATATCTCAATGTATTTTCCCATGAAATACTTATAAAAGAGAAAGAAGTAATTTTATAATTAAGAAACTAACAAAACAGAAACAGACTCATAAATACAGATAAAAGACTGACAGCTGTCAGAGGGTAAGAGGGAAGTGGGGTTGAGAGATGGTTGAAATAGTGAAGGGATTAAGCAACAACAACAACAACAACAAAACTCAAAAAACGGTATGATTTTTTCCCCAGTAATTATGAGCGGGAAAAGGGGACGGAAGGTTAGAAGAGGATAAAGGGGGGATAAAGGGTGATGGAAGGATACTTGAATTAGGGTGGTGAACACACATTACAATATACAGATGTATTATAGAATTGTACACCTGAAACCTATATAATTTTATTAACCAATGTCACCCCAATAAGTTCAATAAAAGTTTTTAAAAAGAGAACCCTGGTAGAAACCACCATAATCAAATGATCAAAATTAATACCAGTAGCAAAAGACAACTCAACATCATGTGCCCCTTGATATGATGCAATGAGAAAGAACTAATATGATTTCTATGTAATTATTTCCAAAACTGAAATTCTAAATCTTCATGAGAAGATATCAAAGAGATGCAAATTAAGGGACATTCTAAAACTTAATTTGATAGTATTAGTCAAAAATATCAAGGAAATGTTAAACAAACTATTCCATATCAAAGAATATTAAAACACCAAGGCAACTAAGAGCAATAAAATAACCTCCATTGGGAATCAGAAGGGGGAAATGATTCATTTTTTCCCCTAGAAAGGATATTATTGGGATAACTGAATTAATTTCAATTGGATCTCTGGATTAGATTATAGTATTATTTTAATGTCAATTACCTGATTTTATGGTTGCCTTTGGTTATATAAGTGAAGCCCTTATGTTTTAGGAAATAAACAGTAGAGTATTTAGGGGTAACAGGGCATCGTACATACAATTTATTCTCAAATGATTAAAAAAATGCATATGTATGTGTTTACATTTACATAAAAGTATAGAATGATAAAGTCTATGTGGTAAAATGTAAGATATTAGGAAATATGTTTTCCTGTCCAATTATTACAAATATACCATAAATTTGAAATTATTTATTTGAAGCAGAAATAAATGTGTGAAAATATGATTTTCCTAATTAAAGAACACTCTATCGGAGGTAGTGTTTAAGAACAAGTGCTCTAGCCAAAACCCGTTTGGCTCAGTGGATAGAGCGTCAGCCTGTGGACTGAAAGGTCCCAGGGTCGATTCCGGTCAAGGGCATGTACCTGGGTTGCAGGCACATCCCCAGTAGGAGATGTGCACGAGGCAGCTGATCGATGTTTCTCTCTCATCGATGTTTCTGGCTCTCTATCTCTCTCCCTTCCTCTCTGTAAAAAAATCAATAAAATATATTAAAAAAAAAAAAAGAACAAGTGCTCTAAGTCAGATAAACATGATTCAAATTTTAGTACTCTAACTTCTCCTCCCAATATACAAAATGTGAGTGATATTAATAAAATAGTTATATTTAGATATAGTACTATGTGCATGTGTAAATATGTATATAGAATATATTACATATAAACTTTAAAAATTAACATGTAAAAAGCTTAGCACAGAATCCAACTCATTGTGAACATTCAGTAGATTTTAGGCATTACTGAGTTGTAAAAAAAAATAGAAAAAGGCACAAAGATAGAATAATATATCTGAGTGCAAATATCACAATTTTTAGAGTCCCATCAATAAAAGACATAAAAGCAAGCTGATAAATGAATATTAAAATAGTGAAATGCTATTTTGCCCTATCAAAAATTTTTTATAAAATGATGGGAATTTGCAATGCGATTATGAATATGCTGAGAAAAGCACTCTAACATACTACTGGTGAAATTATAAACTGGTATAATATTTCTGAAAAAAACTGACAATATTTATTATGAGACCCTTTCTCAGAAATTCTAAACAAATCAAAGGTAGAGATAAGTAATAATGTACAATGAAATCAATCACTGAATTATCTGTAGATTTGATTACTTATAGAATCAAAACTTTAGAAATAGGTAAATGGCACATCCTCTTAGAATACTACGCAGAGCTAAGAAAACAAAAACATGCAAAAATCAAGAAAACCTTCATTCTTTAAGAGGTTAAATATTTCTCATATTTATTCAATGAGAAACAGTGGAAGAACACACACCAAAATTGTAAGTTAATTCCTGATGTTTGGGTTATGAATAATTTTTCTTTTATATTATTATATTTTTTATGATAAGTATGTATTTTTATATAATTAGAAAATAATTGTCAGTATATTTTAAACAACCCATTGCAGTGAATAATTAGCTTCTACTATACTTGTAAGAAACTGTGAAGTTGGAAACAAATATAAAGAAAGTAAACAATTTCAAAATGTTGAAAGAATATCAGAATTCATGGGTCATGACCAATATCATTTATCTGTTTTTAATATTATGAATATATTTCCTTAGTCACAATAAGTATATAGGATACAAGATAGAATATTATTTATTTTACCTGTCCTTTTTCTAAAAATAGTTTAATATTGCAGAAATATAAACTTCTTGACCAAAAAAATTTTCAATATAGCAATTTATTATATAAGAAAGACAAAAGTTGAGTGATATTTTCATAACCAAGCATATCTGTTAACTATAACAGTACTCAGAACATAGACCAATCTTAGTACAGTGTAATGTACAGATAAGGATTATACTTACCTAATCCTTTAGGTGTAATGCCACTACTGTCAGCAGGATTAATGACCCAGTAGTAATATTTTAATGTGTGCATTAGCTGTAACACTGTTCCTACTCTGCGTATGGTAGTATAAATGGTAGCAGTTCCAATAAATTCAGCAGACAAATAAGTGTATAGAGAAAGCTGAACCTAATTCACAAAATATTAACAGACCATTAAAATAAATTTTCAAAGTTTGAAGTGTTTATATTATACATATCCACTCTATTCTAAGTTAAATGAAAATTAGTAAAGGCCTAGCAAGTAGCATATATTATGAGGTTAAAAATAAATATTTAGGATTATCAAATTGTTTAAAAAGTCAATTAGATGAAAGCCTAAATCAAAGTACAATTCAGCAGCTCAAAAAGCAAAGAATATCAGATAGTTATGTCATATTTGCAAAAAGTACATATTATTGTCATATATCTTAAAAGTCTAATGTAACTTCAAAATATCGTAACCCATTGCCACAATATGTGAAGTCTAACCATGTAAATAGAGAAAAGATAAGTCAAACACCTTGTTGAAATAGTGAGCAAACTTCAAGGTTGAGATTAGCACTATAATGAACATAATAAACTGTAATAAAAGTCAGAATTTAAACATTATTTATAAAAAGTTATGTGGAAGATTTGAAAATTGCAAAAGGCAGCTCAAAATCATAAAATATGTCCCAGAGCGCACAAATTTCATGCACTGAGCCTCTAGTTACTTATAACATTACAATAAAATAAAATAAAGTAAATAAGAATAAATTTATACTTTTGCAGGTGTATGTATCCAGATGGCTGGGTTGAATAAAATATGATCACAAAGCTGCTTCAGCAAAGGTGCTCCATGAGATAATCCATCAAGGTATTTTGCAAAGGATAAAAATTGCTCTAGGACAGCTCTAGTTATATGAACTCGTGAGGACTGAAGAAAGAAAACAGAAATTCAAACTAAAACTATGCATAATACCAAAGTATAAAATTGTTGACTTAACATAAATATATACTAATTTTTCATATGCTATCACTAATACTTTAAATACAAAATTAAAAAACTTTAAATTTCTTTTGATATTTAAATTTTAATTTTATTTGGAAACTTAGAATTTTAAGATAATTTTCTAAATGATACTTTGTTATCTGAAGCTCTTTCTAGGATAACAGCAGATATAGGTAAATATCTGTTTAAAAAATACCACTTAATTCAAGCTAACTAAATAAAATATGTTATGAATAATAAATTGTTTTATTCCTTTTTTGTAGAAATTGATGGGGGAAATTAAAAAAAACACAAAGTTTAAAAAATTAATATCATGATAATACATATACATACAAAAAAGTTATTAGTAAAGAGAACTGCTTTTGTTAACTCCAACACACAGGGAAAATAAACTGATGTTACCATCCTACTGAAACCTTTCTTTAAAGTTACAAATGAGTTGCACCAAGCACAGCATAAAATTTCTTGACCTATCCATAGTATTTGCTTGAATATACTGTCCTCCTTTGGCATTCATTAGCCTCAGATTACTCCTAAGTGTCCTTTACTTAAAACATGGAAACTACTGAAGATTATTTATTTGGAACTTTCTTCTGAATAAATATACTCTCCCTAGATATTTTAGGCTTCCACAGTTTCATATAACAAATCTCTTTGCTGAGCTCTCCCATCAAGAATTTTCAACTGCCATCACCAATACATAACCTGTAACCAATAGTATTTAGGTAAATGATAGATTTTCCAAAATTCAAATCAAACCTTAAAGCTTCACTGTCCAATAGAATAGCCACTAGTCATATGTCATTACTAAGCCCTTGAAATGTGTTTAGTCCAAAGTGAAATGTGCCATAATTATGTATATTCTGTACTTTGAAGAGTTAGAATGAAGAAATAAAGCAAAATACCAATTACTCATTTTCATATTGATTATATGTTGAAGTGGAAATATTTTGAGTATACTAGATTAAATAAAATATATTATTAAAGTTAACTTCACCAGTTATTTTTTACTGGAAAATTTTATGCATAATCAAACTTGTATTATTGTTTAATTGAAAATGCTAACCTAGAGTATAATTCAGTAGAAAATATTATAAAGGAAAAGGTGTTCAAAAAAGCTAATAATAAGAACTCAAATGTCAAAAAATGTATCTACCTACACAAATTACTTCTTCTTTATCTAGTGATCATGTTCGTAATATCACCAGCCTCCCCAAGGTAGTAAAATCACCTACCACTCAACCCTAAAGCACAGGTCATATTACACCTTTATCTCTATTATCCACTGATTAAAGTCAAACTAACAGTATAGGATTATTAAGGTATGATATTACCTACATTCATCATGCTTGTTACAAGGACAACTCAATAAATTTGATTTCAGCATGCCATGCATTTTCATACTTCTACATAAGAAATTTACAAACTCAAATGATTACAATATGCAAGTAGTTAACAACAATATATCAATCAGGGTAGGAGACAATGAAGAGTAGTGAAGAGAAAAAGATGGGGGCCGACAGGACAGCAGGGAGGGAGAGAGTGTGAGTAACTAAAGGAGCGAGAGGAGCATGTGTGGATGTTTATGGTGTGTTAGTGGAGGAGTAAGGGGCAGTTACATATCACAGGAGGCCAAGGGACTGGCAGTTTGGACTCTCCTAGATGGGGAACCCCTGCTACTGCCGTGGGCACTCCCAGGCCGGCACTGCTTTAGCAGGGAGCCCAGGCCATCTTGAAGAGGAGAGCAACGGAGGCCAAAAGTGCAGGCACACCAACACCCAGATGGGCCTCCAACACCACTACCAGACTTGTACACTGATTCACTTGCCAGCCATAACCTGTATGGAACGACCACCGTGCCCCGGCAGTGAACAGCGCAGTATAGCTTGGCAGGTCCTAAGACAGACCTCCCAAGCTGTGCCTCCTCGCAGAAGCCGAAACCCAGTGTCCCAGGAGCCCATGCTTCAGGTATGCACTGTAAGTGTAAGCCAGGGGTACCCCTCACCCAGCTCCATCACTGGTTCCAGTACAGAGCCAAAGACCAGTGCGCCCCCACCCCAGCACAGACAGCTATCAGTAGGCACATGCTCAGCCCCAGACACAGATAGAGCTGTCATCTGGGACATGCCTTCCCTAGCCCAGATCAGAGCTGCTGGTGCAACCAGTGGTCCCCAGCCACAGATCACAGGACCACATTGCATGTGTGCTGCCAGAGGGTCCTAGGGCACCATTCTGCCTTGGATGCTGGGCCGCACAGTGAATTGCATGCCAGAGGGCTCTGGGGCATCACAGGGAGTCACACACCAGAGGAATTGTGCATGACCATCACCGACCCCGAGAATCTGAAGTGGACAACTGAGCGACCAGAACCATGGGAGAAGGGGGTACAATTAAGAGTAGAGACAATGCAGGTGTGAAACTCAGGCAGACCCAGTCTTTGGTCTAGGGAGTTCAAAATCATTGAACCACTAGGAGCTTCAACCCCTCGATCCCAAAAAGGAAGCCCAGGGCAAAAGAGACAGCAAAAATGGCAAGAAAAATAACATCCAAAGGATATTAAGACATTGTATGTGAGAAATGTATTTATATGTTTTACGTATTTATACGTTCTACCAGTGTAGTAGAGCACGGGACATGTATTAATACTTTTTTTCATAGACTAGCGGTAGAATGCGGGTAACGTATAAATACGTAAACTAAAGTTCAGTAATTTTACTGAACGTTGCCATTTGCGCAAAAAATTAGCAAAAATGGCTCGCGCCACCTGTTAGCATGGGATAAAAACTACCTGCAAACAATGTGTTAACAAAAGAATCACCAGAAAAGGAACTAAATGAAATAGAGGAAAGCAATAAGTCAGAGAAAGATTCAGACTAAGGGCAGAAGAAGGGTAATAAAGGTGCTCAACCAGCTGAATGAGAAAATCAACATATGTAAGAATCAAGAGGAAATAAAGAATGATATAGCTACAATAAAAAACACAATGGAAAGGTTTCAACAGTAGAATAGAAGAAGTGGAGGACAAAATCAGTGAGCTAGAAAACAGGGTAGAAAAATACACCCCCTGTGAACAGCAATTGGAGAGAAATATTGGAAAGCAGGAGGAGAGCGTAAGAAACCTATAGGACAACATGAAACAAAGCAACACCTGTATAATAAGGGTGCGAGAAGGACAAGACGAGGAGCAAGGATTAGAAAGCCTATTTGAAGAAATAATGACAGAAAACTTCCCTGATTTGGGAAAGAAAAATGTCTCATCAGCAAAGAGAGTCCCAAACAAGATGAAGCCAAAAAGACCCACACCAAGACACATGATAATTACTATGGAAATCTTTAACAACAAAGATAAAACAATAAGGGCTGCAAAAAAGAGACAAAGAGTTACCTACAAGGGATCCCCACAGGCTATGCTGAGGGACCCCACTGGTGCACAGGTGCACTGGGCCTCTAGCAATCCTATAAAATTCAAAATGAGCCTTAAAGCTTAACTTTACATACTAATGTTTTAAGAAGATACAGTAAATGGTTCTAACAAATAGTTGAGTGATTACAAGAGACAGTAGGACAAAAACAAATATTTGAGTAAAAACAAAACAGCAAGAATCGGGCTATCATTTTAAAAGGAACTTTAATGAAAAGAATATAATACTTTCAAATTCTAAAATACTATTAATGGATAGGAGAATACAATTAAATAAGAGATCAGTGGATATTTAAAGCTTCAGCCAGCTCCTTCACCTGTTATAATTTCACACAGCTTATGTAATATACTAGAGGCCCGGTGCACAAAAATTTGTGCACTCGGGGGGGAGGGGGGCCCCTCAGCCAGGCCTGTGCCCTCTCGCAGTCTGGGACCCCTTGGGAGATAACGACCTGGTGGCTTAGGCCTGCTCCCGGGTGGCAGAGGGCAGGCCCAATCCCTATGTGCAGCCCCTGGTCGGGCTCAGAGAAGGGCCAATGGGGGGGGGGTTGGGCCATCGCCCCCTGTCACACTCAAGGCAGGGTCGATGGGGAGGTTGCGGCGCCACCACCTGTCACGCACAGAGCAGGGCCCACCAGGGGGGTTGAGGCTCCGTACTGTCACAAACAGAGCAGGGCCAATCAGGGGGTGGGGCGCTGCCGGCAGGGCCGATGGGGAGGTTATGGCTCTACTCCATCACACACAGAGCAGGGCCCGTGGGGAAGGGGGAGTTGGGGCGCCGCACACTGTCAACACAGAGCAGGGCCAATCAGGGGGTTGTGGTCCCGCCCTCTGTCACACACAGAGCTGCAGGGCGATCAGGAGGTTTGGGCGCTGCCCCCTGTCATGCTGATCCTGGTGCTGGGAGGCCTCGCGGCTCTGCTGATCCCGGTGCTTGGACGCATATTACCCTTTTACTATATAGGATAGAGGCCTGGTGCATGGGTGCGGGCCGGCTGGTTTGCCCTGAATGGTGTCCTGGATCAGGGTGAGGGTCCCCACTCGGGTGCCTGGCCAGCCTGTGTGAGGGGATGATGGCTGTTTGCAGCTGGTCGCACACCCTTCAGGGTGAGGGTCCCCACTGGGGTGCCTGGCCAGTCTGGGTGAGGGGCTGAGGGCTGTTTTCAGGCAGGCGGGTGACTGAAGCTCCCAACTGCTCCTTTTTTTCTTTTTTTTTTTATTCTGGGCCAGCTTTAGCTCTGGCTCCAGCTCTGAGGCCCCTGCTGCTGAAAGCAGGTATCTGGTTGGTTTGGGTTCTATAATCGAAACACTGTATCAACTCCAGCTCTGAGATCCCAGCTGGCTGAAAGCAGGTTTCTGGGATTTTGTTTAGCTTCTATATTTGTAACAATGTTTCAAACTGCAAGCTCAGAGGCCGGCAAGGAAGGCGGGAAACGTTGGAATCCTCCGTCACTGAAGCAAACAAGCTTCATGTTCACTTCAAGCTGACTGGTTGCTGGCTGCCATCTTGGCTGGCAGTTAATTTGCATATCGCCCTGATTAGCCAATGGGAAGGGTAGCGGATGTACAGCTAATTACCATTTTTCTCTTTTATTAGATAGGATGCTAAACTTAATTTGTTATTAGAGAAATGCAAATGATAACACAAAGTGATCTACAGAATGGAACACTACCTTTGGAAATCATACATCTAATAAAGAATTAGTATATAGAATAAAAACTCCTACAACTCAATAATAAAAAAGACATAACTCAAATTATTTAAAATTGGCAAAAGTTCTAAATAGACATGTCTCAAAAATATGTATAAATAGGCAACATGCACATAAAGAGATGCTTATTTATCATTAGATATCAAAGAAAGGTAAATAAAAACTAAAATGCCATTTCACACCTACTAAGATGGCTAGAATAAAAAAAATACAATAGCTTATAAGAATGTAAAATGGGCCGAAGCCGGTTTGGCTCAGTGGATAGAGCGTCGGCCTGCGGACTGAAAGGTCCCGGGTTCGATTCCGGTCAGGGGCATGTACCTGGGTTGCGGGCACATGCCCAGTGGGAGATGTGCAGGGGGCAGCTGATCGGTGTCTCTCTCTCTCGTCGATGTTTCTAGCTCTCTATCTCTCTCCCTTCCTCTCTGTAAAAAATCAATAAAATATATATTAAAAAAAAAAGAATGTAAAATGGTAGAGCTACGTTGGAAAACAGTCTGTCAATTTCTTAAATAAATATAAAATAGGACCCTGAAAATCAACTTATAGGTAAGATAATTGATTTTTCTTCTTCCCAAGAGAAATAAAAACATATGTCTACACACAAATTTGTATATGACCATTCATGGCAGCATTATTTATAATAGCCAAAAGATAGAAACAATACAAATATCCACTGACAGATGAATAGATAAAGAAAATGCAATAAATACATACAATGGAATATTGTTGTCATAAAAAGGAATGAAGTCCTGATATATGCTACAATAAGGAATCTTGTAAACATTATGCTTAGTGAAATAAGCCATTCACAAAAGGACAACTACTATATGATTCCACTTAGAAGAAATATCTAGAATACATAAGATCACAGAGACCAATAGTAGATTATAGACCGCCTAGGAGTAGGGGTATTGAAGGTAATACAGAAAATTGGCAAAGGCATAAATAAGCACTTCACAGAAGAGAAACAATGAATGTCCAATAAAAAAATATATATATATACATATACACACACACACATATATATATATCCAATGTTAATTCAAAATAAAAAATGCAAATAAAAACCACAAGAAAATATTTTTTAAATATATTTTATTGATTTTTTACAGAGAGGAAGGGAGAGGGATAGAGAGTTAGAAACATCCATGAGAGAGAAATATCAATCAGCTGCCTCTTGCACGCCCCCTACTGGGGATGTGCCCGCAGCCAACGTACATACCCTTGACCGGAATCGAACCTGGGACCCTTGAGTCTGCAGGCCTACGCTCTATCCACTGAACCAAACCAGTTAGGGCAAGAAAATATTTTTATCCACTAAATTGACAGTATTAAGGGCATTAATTCTGAGAAAGAGAAAGTACTGAAGTCTATTTATTATATTTTAAGTGTTTTCACAATATTTCTAATTTTAAGCTAAGTTTTAGTGTAAAAAAAAAATGCTCACTTTAGCCCTAGCCAGTTTTGCTCAGTGTATATAGAGCAGTGATGGCGAACCTTTTGAGCTCGGCGTGTCAGCATTTTGAAAAACAATAACTTACCTCTGGTGCCATGTCACATATAGAAATTTTTTGATATTTGCAACCATAGTAAAACAAAGACTTATATTTTTGATATTTATTTTATATATTTAAATGCCATTTAACAAAGAAAAATCAACCAAAAAAATGAGTTCACGTGTCACCTCTGACACGCGTGTCATAGGTTCGCCATCACTGGTATAGAGCATAGGCCTGTGGACCAAAGGGTCCCGGGTTTGATTCCAGTCAAGGGCACATATCTTGGTTGCAGGTTCCTCCCTGGCTCGGACCCTGGTCAGGGCTCATGTAGCGGGAACTAATCGATGTCTCTCTCTCACATCAATGTTTCTCTCTGTCTTTCCCTCTCTCGTCCACTCTCTCTGATTATCAATGGAAAAATATCCTTGGGTGAGGATTAAAAAAAAAAAGCTCTTTAAAATTATGCTGATAAAACATTAGTAAATAAATGACAAGTTTATGTAAGGGGTAATTCCTGATAGTTACTGTGTCATGTGCAGTTATGTGGAAAATGCATTTTATAGATTCTCATTCATGTAAAATGTAATTTCCAATAAATCTAGGCAATTATCAATACTCAATATACAGGAAACAGTTTTCCATAATTAAAAAATAATTAAGAACAAACTTATAACTTTGAAGAAAAGCAGGTGAAATTTTTTTTTTAAGTTTCTATTTTCACTCAGAGTTTCTTAATTATATAAATTTCTAACCCAATTTAGTTCAATGTCTACACTTACATCTAGGTGCATAATATAAAAATGTTTATGAATTAGCCTAAAATATAGCCTCTGTACAATTAATAGAAAAGGAAACTATAGAAAAACTATAATTAGTGATTATCAGTTGTCCACCTTTGAAGGCTACACAATAAAATCATCATTACATATCACTTACCTTTTCAAGTAAGTAGCCAATGACTAAAAAGCCTTTTCCACCCAGCATCTGTTCTTGCATAGCTACCGAACTTTTAAGCAGTTCAACCAGGAAAGCCAAAAGAGTAGCACTGCATGTAAAGTACAGATAATTTCATTATATAACCATCAACTGTTGATTATAAATAGTGTTCAATTTCAATATTTTTATGACAAAAGACAACCACGTTTAAATCAAATCTGTTTTGCTGACAATGATTATTATACCTTATTTATACAATAATATATTTCTTACAAACATGAGAAAACTCGTTTCATCTATTTAAAATTAAATATCATAATCAACAAATAACTGTGTAGATTTTTTTTTATGTTCGAAGGCAAAACATCTAAGTTTACCTATACTCATATATATTCCCTGTTTCAAGTAAATTTAACATAAGAAACACACCCCAAAATGTCACTTCATCATAATAAAGACTTTATCATAATATTGTTTTAAAGAACATGTTATCTTAGAGAATTTTAAATAGGTATGCAAGATTGTTTTGGAAGAACACACTGACTTTTTCAATAAACCTTTCATTTAGACCTATTTTTATTACTTTTTTTAAAGATATCCAGAGAGGAAGTGCCCGGCTAGCTCAGTCGGTCGAGCATGAGACTCTTAAGATATCCAGAGAGCCCTGGCCAGCAGGGTTCAGTGGTTAGAGCGTCAGCTGTACACTAGAGGATCACAGGTTCAACTACTGGTCATGGGCACCTACCTGACCTACCTGGGGGTTGCAAGTTTAACCCCTCCCCAAATCCCCACTCCCCCATCCCCCACTCCTGTCCTCAGTCAGGGTGCATGCGGGAGGCAACCAACCAATGGATGTGTCTCTCACACTGATGTTTCTCTCTCTCTCTCTCTCTCTCTCTCTCTCCCCTCACCCTCCCTTCCACTCTCTCTAAAAAAAAAAATCAATGGAAAAAATATCCTCACTTCTGGGTAAGGGTCAATAAAAAATATATACCTGGGGACAAATGAAACATGTTACTTATGTCCCTAAATGCCCTCAGGAAAGTTCATGAGAGCAGAGAAAAGAAATGATTTATGTAATATTAAAATTAAAAGTGACAATAACACAATGTATATACAACACATAAAAGCACATAAAGATATGTGCCAGACAAACATAAAACACTTGATGTGGTAACTGAATGAAGAAACAAAAGAAAAACAAAGTATTACAATTAATTAAGCTGTGGTAATATATTACTTCAGGAAGTTACATAGAACAATTTTCAAACAGCAGCATTCATACATGACAATATTTCTAGTTATATGTTACCATAGTTTATAGCAATAAATGATATAAGCCAGACTTTACCACCTATTAAAATAATATCTATTTAAAGTGCTTTACAAGGACCCTAAATTTCCTATTTATATTCACAAGCATGGGTAAAGCCTCAAATTTCTAAATATATTTTAATACACAAGTACTCATTCCTAAAAGAAATTAAGAAAATCTGGTAATGAGGAAAACTTGAAAATTACTAAGGCCCCTAAATTATCTAAAGTTATTATATTCTCTGGAGTTATTTAAAAAAAAATACTTTTGTAAAAAATATCCAGAGAGCCCTGGCCAGCTGGCTCAGGGTTTTGAGCGTCATGGGCACTTACCTGACCTACCTGAGGGTTGCTCTTCTGATTTCAATAAAAATTATAAACAATACTTTTCTCTAACATTGAGGTTATACTTGTTCAAATTAGAAAAAGATTCTCATAAAAATAATTAACAAAAATTATCATTATTGTAAAAATCAATCGTTTAACAGATTTCAGCTAGAAAAAGAATATATAGTACATTTGAAAACAAAGTACTTCATTACAGGAAATTAAAATTCTATTACATTATTTGGCCTGTATCTTTAAACCACAAAAACAAGTAAACTAGTATTACAAATCAATGATATTGTTTTACTCTGTCCTAAAAACCAAAGGTAGATATTTACAAGAAAAACACAACTCCCAAGGAATTCCTTGGGATTTTTTAAATGTTTCTATAAAAAAAGAACAGCTATTAAAAGCAATCTAGTCCATTTTAAATGAATTGTATCAATAGTCAAAGCCACTTCACAAATAACTGCTTACGTACTATTATACATAGTACTTCTGTCTACATGTTTGAAAAGAATGAAGACAGCGACTGCATAGAGATCACACAATTTCCTAATCTGTTCATGGAATTTTAACCTACATCTGAGTTAGTGATTTAGAGAGGAAGATGACTAGGATTCCTAAATATCAGCACTGCCAAAAAGACCAAAAAAGCATCACTAATGGTCCCTATGGTCCATAAAAAAATGCACAAAGTATTTCTTATGATAAATCTTCCTCCTGTGTAGACCCATATAAAATTAAAAGGATGCCACAGATTTTCTTATTTTTTTATGTCAGAAAGACAACTCTTTCTCAAACATCTAATGAATTAACTCAAGACTTCTAAACACACTAGAGATTCATTACAAAACCAGAAATATTAATTTTATTTTCCCAAAATCTTAACACATGATATAATACCCATATAATATTAATTTCACTTCAATTTTAACTATGACAAAAATTGAAAAGTCAAATTCATTCACTAACAAAGGTATTATTCATTTATACCTAAGACCCAATGCAATAGCAATGCCATATCTTTTTTAAATCTTTAAAATAGATATATTTGACATGGTAGATGTAATACTAAAGAGATGGCCATCTTCGAAGAGGTACATTTTCAAACATAATTTAACAAACTTACCAGTAACTAAAATGCATCGGATTGCTGCAGGGCTCACAATAAACTTGCAAAATTCTGTGTACTGCCATACAAAATTTCTCTCCATTCTTGCCTATTTCCAACTCCCCTAGATACAAAGGCAAATATAAAGGATACTTCAGCCCATTCCTATATCTCCTACATACCACTTCCTGTCTAGACACATCAGTTCAACTGTAGAGGATCTAAATATATAGGATAAATCAAAAGTAAGTATCTGTGTCAGCCAAAACGAGAAAATCTCTTGAAAAGTGTAGCAATTGCTGGAAAGAGATGTTCACAAATTTTTTTTACTTGATAGATAAAAAGTACTCTGATTTTTATCTCATAAGGTAAAATTGCTAAACTTTTTAAAAGACATTGTAACAGATGTTCTGTACGTAGCAATTCCACTTCAGAAACAGTTAAAGCGTTTTTAATTCTGTCTCCTTTAATGGAAAATTACACTAAATATTTTTAGGGTTATATCTTAAAAATAATAACAATCCTCCAATTTTTAATAAGCTTCAAGTAAACTAGGAAATAATATTTATTTCAAGTGGTATACTTATAAAGGTCTAGACCTTAGGAAAATTGAAAAAATAGTATAATACATTTAACAAGTTACTATGTTTATTAAAATGTCCAGAGCTTTCTGGCCCATATTATCTTAAAACACACACACACACACACACACACACACACACACACCAGTCTTGGTCCATTAACACCAAATAATTTTAATAACTATGTAAAAATATAAGTAAATTCTGTTTCTAATAAAAAATATGACTATATTTAGGTTCCATTAAAATTTATATAACTATAGATTTTTACTTGATTTTAATATTATTTTATTATTTGAGGTACTTTATTTAAAGATAAAGTATATCATAAAGATAGACCTACTTTATTACTGAAATGATTAATATTAAATATATAACCTAAGTTCAGTTCAAAAGTGGTTCTTAGAATATAGAAAATCACTTTTCAATTTGCTTTTGTACAAGCAAGTACCTCAATTTGATGAGTTGTTTAAATATATTAAGAATGGAATTAATAGTGTTAAAATAAAATATTCTATATTCATTCAGAAATTCAACACATCCCTTTATAAAAATGTTTTTGATCTTTAAAAAACACTCACTACAAGCAAAGTAACTGTCAGAATAAATTCAGAAGTAGATTAAGTCCTAATAAGATTTAAGGTGCCAGTAAGGGGAGGGAGAGTCTTTTGGCTTTTTCATAAACTTTCATGTCTTAGGTAGCTTACTTTAATATTGAAATAGATTGAAATCTTGCAAAAGATAATTAAACATATAAAATATCTAATACTATAGTTTTAATGCTAGTTTTTTTCCACTACAAAGCTCTTTGGAGATGTGAGTGATCATAGCAAGAATAAAACTGTAAAAGAAATCAACTCAAGTGCAACTCAAGATAATTTTACACTCAACACAATTTCCAGCAACATACACACACAAAAAATCTCACAGTAAGTTAGAAGAGTTAAATTTTTTCACAGTTCAAAATTAGAAACATCCAAACGAAAAGTTTCCAACTCCAGGTACATTTAGCTGTCACTTTTAGATAATATATTCCTGAAGATGCTATCTCAAAAGACCATTGCCTACCTGCCTATATATGCAATGAATCCTGGTACACAAACTGTTACATTCATCAAATAAGACAACAAGTGGAGATATATGCTAAATTAAGTAAAATACACTTATCTGCAAGTCAAAAAAAGAAAAGAGTGAAATGCAGCACAATAAAATGTAAGGATGGATGGAATACACTTGGTAGCACATGAAATCACTGAGCCTGCACTTCACCATGAAACCTCTCCTCTGTTACCTCTCTCTTTTCTTTCAACCTGCTACGAGACAGGTAGCCATTCAATTGCTACCACTATCATGGCTATTTAAGAGCATTCTTGAAAGGCTCTATTAAAAGTTTGTCAAGCTGTTACACATTTTTACCTTTTTTGGTAACAAGCTTTGATTTTATATTTCATTAGCCTATTTTATTTCTGACAAAATATATTCATAGCCAAAAAACATCAACGTTTATTAAAGTGTGATTGAAAGGTATAACAATTTGTCTTATCAAAGAAACAAAATTTAAAAATTTGATCATGTAAATGATTTATAAATCCGTTATGACATAATGTGTTATTACATAATATCTATCAGTATTTACATAGTTTGAGAACAAGAGTCTCTTGATCAGCTCCATTCATATCTATAAAATGGCTGACAGATATTAACTGAAAAGACTTTAATGTAAAACAAAACAAAAAAACTCTCAAAACCTAACAGTGTGCAATTTAACCTCAA